CTTCAGAATCTTCCTGGATAGATTCCCTTTTTTAAAGACTTCTCTTGTGAAAACTATTCCATATGAGAATCTAAATAAACACTCTCAGGACCTTATCAGCAAAGTTTACAAATTGTTTTGTTTGAGTATTTGCAGAAAGACATGAACAGCTAAAGAAGCTAGCAAGCTCATAATACAAGAGCTTTATGGAGCTGGGTTTTATAAGAACTAGTTCCAAACTCATCTTCCTGCAAAAGAAGCCAAACTTATGGACAATGTCAAAAGAAAGAACTCCCTATGACTTACTGAAAGCACAGTTAGGCTCAGCTATTGACTTTTTCTGACTGCTGCCATTGATGAATAAGAAAAGGGTTTTGCTAATCTATTTGTTAATTATATGTCAAAAGATTTATATGGTTGCACAACAAGATCCTGGGCATGCAATGTATGACAGCTCATTAACCCCAGTCACCAGAGAAGATACCTACCCGTGCTTCTCCCCATGATCAGCTCTTAAGCTGGAGAAATACATTCGCCCTGAAAGGCTCTTTCCAACCCTTCCTTCAGCTCTTTAGGTTGACAGGATGCTGAATTACAGCTTCCCAAAGACCAATTTGCAGCAGATTTCCAGGCACGATGGCAAGTAGAAAATTAAATATTTGTTTACCTCTCCACTTGTAAGCTTTGCTCCTATTGAGTTTCTTACCTGTCTGACAGCGTTCCCTGTGAACCTGGCATAAGATATATAGCGGAGCTGGGACTAACGTATCATACCCTGTCATCCATCAGTCCACTGAAATGATCTGGTTATGAACAGCATGCATTTTGCTTGAACAGGCCATCTCTAATGCTTCTTATTATAGGCTGTAAAGTAATGGACATTTGGCTAGCAACTGATGAGGAAGAAGCTTTGGCTCTGTCTGGTCTTCATTATGGAGGAAAGGCTGAGATGCTTATCTTGACAGCCCACTTTGCACAAAGCATAAGCCTTTCTCTCAGGAGATGTACCTTTCTCTCATTTCAGTAACTCATTCTGGGCTAACTGGATATAAGAGACAATCCGAACAACCTACAGCTGAATGAGGGTAGTGAATCCTGCATGCAGTATAGGACAGACGTAAACATTATGACCATCCAAAGAGCTTTAGGAAGAAAATGTTTTTGTGCTTCACCAAAGTAGCCACCAGAGAATTTGAAGGAAAGAGCTACAGAAAAGGGGCATTGATTTTTGTTGTTGAAAAGCATCACAGGGCAGAGCCCGGGTCAAAGCATGAAATGTGGCAAACATGCTTTTGAAATATGGGGAGGGGATGAGGAGATGAAAGCACAGCAGAGATGTTCATCAGACTACAAAGAGCAACCTGAAATATTTAAACCATCTTCTCTTTTTATATGTGAGTGACTAGTCTAATGGAGCCAATGAAAGCATGGAGATCAGTATGTGTCTTCTTCATTGTTAAAAATAAAAAGTGCTATATGACAATGGTATCAAAATAGGAAGACAAACATGTTTCCAGTGAAGCCCTTTTTTAAAAGGCTGTTATTTTTCCAAAATGCTCCACAATGAAAAATTCCATACCAGCTTCTCTATGTATATGACATTGCTGTAAAGCTCTTGGAGATCCTTCTGCCCCCCCCCTTCTCCCCCTGCCTTCCCCTAGTTTCTTCTGTTTCCTATTTTATTCCTGTTGATGGTCGTTCATTAGTAAATCAGATTTTTTATTTAGAATTTTAATATTGCATCCCAAGGAAAGAAATTCTGGTTTACCGTTTTATGCAAACATGATTTGTGAGTATTAGCTATTGTATAAAGAGGACTGTTTTTGCTGGCTGAACTAACTAATCAAGACAAACTATGTAATTTGGTTACATGAACACATCACAAAGCCAAATCACACTGAGGACAAGTTGTTTATTGTTCCTGATGTTCTTGTACTTATGTTGTTAGGAGATGAATATGCGTGAATAGCTTGCATCCAGTGCACAATCATTTCATCTTCATTCTGCAGTCTCCCTGACTCTTCCTGGCTCCGATAAATCCCAAGGGAATTTATTGAAGGAACTCTGTCCATGGGGTTTTTCCAGATGGAAAAATGCTGATAATCAGAGAGGCTTCAGAGAGAAGGAAACATTATTTAATATCTGCAAGTAGACCCTCTGACAATAAATTTAGCTCAAACAAACTGCCAAAATACTATCTCTAATAACAAAGCCCTATTTCCCAAGACAAGTAATTAAAATCTGTTTTCAGCATGATATTCAAAAAGATTGGGTCAAAACTATTGGTGCTTCAGGATGAATTTGGCTATAATGCCCAATACGCATAAAAAGCAAAGACTTAGTGGCTTAGACTGAAAAACATGTTTCCCTTTTCATCATGTGCAAAATATCTTCTGAAGTCTATGTTTATGTGTTCCTGTAGCATCTGTCCAAACCCCCAGACCTGCTGAATAATGCATAGGCAAATTGTAACATTTAAATAGTGGGCATGTCCATAAACCTGAACATCTTTAATGACTTCTCTTAAAAGAGATAAATAAACTTTGCAGGTTTTGCTTAGACAGAATGGCTTTCATGAAATATGCTCTGATCTAATATTATACACATAGATACTGACTTCAGAAATGGATCAGGGTGGACAGGATGTAAGATTCTTGCTGGATTACATCTAAGGCCTCTCTTGTTTAAATTCCTGTGGTATTCAGTCAGATGCGTGTGTCTGTGTGAGAAGTCAAGATGGCGGCCACATGACATAGGTTAAAGGGCCAGAGCTTCAGATTGCATGGTCATGGGCGCCATCTTGACTTTTTTTAATCTTCCTCCCCTTTCCCCCCCCCCCCCACTCCACAGATGTCCTTGTACCTAGGGGAAGTTCACCAGCAATGTCAAATATTCCAAAAAGTTATCCAAAAGTATTTTCTAATTTTTATCTAGACAAAGGATCATTTAATTCACTTCTCAAATGTAATTAATTTAAGGTGATAAAACAAGTATACTCTTTTATAAAGTAGATAAAACAAGTGTACTGTGAAGCCAAGTAGAAGCTAAAAAGAGGAGATGAAAAATAACACTTAGAACAGATTTTGTAAAAATCTACTTGGGTGGATTTTATTGAATTGTGTTGCAGTTTTATAGGGCCATCACAACAAATGGTTTCATATACACAATGTTCTAGATATTTCTCCAAAATCATGCTTTGAAGCAAATTTCATTAGATGGACTGAGCTGAGTTTCAAGCAACAGTTATTCCCAAGACCTTCTCAGCCATTTTTGAAAAACAATCTTTAAAACCTGAGTTGAACGAGCAACCCATTTCACATTTTATCCTGTTGATATTTTATAAGCACATTTTATAAAGTTGTAGTTGCTTTAAGAATCACAATAACCTAAATGAATTTAAAGCAACAGGATCTCTGCTTCAGGCTGAAAAGTTTGGCTACATTAACGAACAGCAAATTGATACTATGTTTACACATAGTCAAAAGCACTTTCCTGAATCATTTTTGAAACATTCACACTCTTACTACCTTATACATATGAATGAGCCAGCCATACCTTAACACTACAGCATTTTCACATTACTGCCAAATGTCTGTTAAATCCAAATTTATGTTATTTATATCAATTCACATCATTTTATGTCATTAACGCAAATGACATAAATTGCATCATTTGCATACTTAAACTAGTATGTAAACTGTGTATACAGATGGAAATAATGGAAATCTAAGGGAATTGTCTGGACTATTTCAGACATACAAAACTTAGTTTTTTGGGGGGGGCGGAGGTGGGAATATGTCTTTGCCTCCAAAGTATGGTAACCGGGGGTCCGCTAAATAGAGATTTTACTATAATCACTTTAAACTGGTGAATATGAAAGATTTTTTCTTGGAATAAGATTGACTATGAACTATGTACCATCTTCTTTAAAGATTCACTAAATGTGAACATCTTTAGAAGAGAACTTGGGTTTATCTTTAGCACTTTGGTAGTAGCTGTTTGGGCTAAAGCATTTGTTAAGGAAAGATTGCAGCTAAGGGGGCTTTTTCACTTGGAAAGAAGAGGCACAAATTCATGCATGACACAGGGACCCTGGAAAGGTTTTTCTCTCTCTTTGCAATATTAAAAGTCATCTCCTGAAATTAAAAGAAAGAGATTCAGGCTGACAGAAACAAACATACCAACAGGCCAACAGAGATGCCTAGAAACACACAAACACACATATTTATATTTTATGCAGTGAATAGTTAAAGCTTAGGTACTAAAGTTGCTCTTTGGTATATAAGAAATCAATTAAGATTTTAGCATTTGATTTATATTGTTTTTACAAACCCAGATAGTATACATTTCTATATTTTAATCTAGGTGATCAGTAAGAGTTGACACCAACTTGATGGCACTTAATCAATCATATTGTTTCCATACATTTTATATATATTTTATGCTATTTATTAATGATATTATTGGTTATACAATTTCACCATTTTAACATGTTAGTTAAAATTTTAGTTATTGGGCAAATAAGAAACAGTAGCATAGTAGCTGTTGTTGTCATTGTTACTTAGAGTGCACAAGTTCCTAAAAATGTTCATGAAACTCAGTCTGAATATATTTTAAGTGGATATATTATTTTGAGGAATAGCAAAAAAGTTGATTGTGACTGAGAAGGGGGTTGCTTATTACAAATTTAACCCATTTTTGTTGAAGCAAAAGGATTTCTGAAATCATCCAAGTACAGTCATGTATCCATCATTCAGACCATTAATTTGGAAGACTCACCATAAGAAAGAATTGTTTGCTTCTTTAAAAATAAAATGCTTCTTTGTTGGTATTGGAAAATCCTAACTGTTTAGATTATATTTGGGACGTATCTCTATTTGTAACCATTTTCTTTTATAATCAAATCATTCTTCTCCAGCTATTTGACAATCTCACCCAATCTCACTGACAATAAGTTTTCTATCAAAAGAAGCCTTCAGCGATACCTATTTTACTTGTAAAGATAATTCTTTATTTCCCAGGTGTGATGGGGGAATATGAACCGAAAATTGAAGTCCATTTTCCATACACAGTTACAGCTGCTAAGGGATCCACTGTTAAGATGGAATGCTTTGCATTGGGCAAGTAAGTATATATTCTTCCATAATTGATTATTAAAATATGAGATCATTCATTTTGGGTTCTATTAGTGTGTGTGTGTGTGTGTGTGTAAGAGAGAGAGATAAGGATCAAGCTTATATAAACTTGCTTATATACACACGCTTATATACACACAGAGAAAGGGTCAAGCTTATATATGCTTCCTTATATATACACAGAGAAAGAGATATACATTATACATAGACAAAGTCCTGGAGAAAATCTACATGGACACTAAGAGTTATCATTAATTTGATGGGACATAATCAATCAATCAGTATATATACATGATAGATAGATGATAGACAGACAGACAGACAGACAGACAGATAGATAGATAGATAGATAGATAGATAGATAGATGATAGATGTTATAATACAGTTATGAAAGCTATGTACAGTGTTTTGTCCATAAAGAATTACACTGAGACTCACCTATATGTTTCCAAGTTCCAAATGATGTGAACAGATGTGTTGAGACAGAAATGTGTTGGATCTGATGGAGGAAGGTACTGGAGATCACAAGCAGCTAAGTCCTGGGTTGCTTAGTTTCTCGTTTTTTCCCCATTTGGCGTCAGCCTTTTATTATATTTTTTAAGTCCATATTTTTCAATATTTTTGTACACACATTTTTCACATGTCCATATTGCCACATGCCATTCTCTAATGCTAAATCGTAATTGTTATCAATGACTGGGCACTTAATTTTCACATTTGTCATTACTTGGCCAAGACTCTTAAAGAAATTTGCTTCTCTGTAAGTTCTTATGTCAGGTTTTATTTTTAACCTCATACTTTTAAAAACTGTTTAAGGGTCACATATTCATCCCATTTTCTCTCTCCACTGGAAATAAGAAACCAGACTTTCCAATTTAATATATTAGTAAATCTACAATTCTGTGTAGGTAGGAGGATAATGGATATTAATTGCAGTATAAACCTGCAAACCATAAATTGAAACTGTTTGCTGAAATTGGTAAGACTTACTCTTGTAGAAATATTTGACTTTGATTACGCATTACCAGATTTATATTCTGTCTTTAACAGCATAGTTGCTTTTTTAAGATAGTATACAATAATTAATAGAATACAATAATCATCATAGAACATTTTAAATAATCATCAAATTAAATCTACACTATATCCATTTAAAACTGAGTGGTAAAAATTATAACATCAGCATTTAATTGAAACCAGACACTGAAGTCTTCTTAGGAAGTTACCAAAGAGGGGGATCATTCATAAATGTGATGATTTCCAATCTAGCATCCCTTCTGGACATGCCAGAAAAAAAAATCCTTTCATGACTAAACACAAGGTCTGGACAAGGTTATACAGATGTAAGCAATTTTAAAAGTAGAACCCAAACTGTAAAGGTTCTTAATGAAGGACTTCAATTTCAGTTGAAGAAAATGGGCAGAATCCATCAAAGGAATCCTGTCAGTGCATGGAAAGACAAGGATTATTTTTCCTATTTCTCCCTTCAAAAAGTCTCATTCCAAAATGTATATATGTTTGTTCAGTTTAACTGAAGCACTGTGGCCAAAACAGGATATGTATTTAGGAAAGTCATCCAGAATACTGAGAAGGAAATTAAACAAGAATATATTAGAGCTAGACACACTTCTAAAAATGTACATCCCTGAAAGTTACACACAAAGTTTGTTATTTATATATATACTCTGTGTCTGTGTGTGTGTTTGTGTGTGTGTGTGTATGTGTGTGTGTGTGTGTGTGTATGAAAGTTCCAAAGAACAGTGGGTGGAGAGGGAGGGAGGGAGGTAGACAGACAGACAGACATATACATAATTGTGATAATGAATTAATGTGATCTTCACCTCCTTAACTGATATGCCCAAACTAGCACTGTTAATTGAATGTAGCAGCCACAGGTAACTAGTGTCACCAACATAATCAGATCTGAAAGGACTTTTGTATTTATGGTCTGCCTCAGATGTGTGCAGATGTATGCAAGATGATAGAAATATTATGAAAATGTTTTTGTGACCCCACTGAACATCACATGCAAAGTGTTTAAAGAAAACTATACATTCTTTCTCTGTGTGTGTGTGTGTTCCTTACAGTTGTTCTCAAAGGATGATATTGAATTAGGAGTATAAAATCACCTGTCAGTAAATAATTCAGTATCCCATAAGAGTCAGTTGATGAAACAGTAGGAGAAGCAAATGAAATGTCTTGTATTGATTAGGAAATTATGAAAAGCAATAGATTTATATCCTATCGTATATCAGGGGTAGAAATGCAAACACACCAACATGTGCATATACATAGAACAGTACATTTGCAACCTCCACTAAATACATGTGATCAATTAAGGCCAGATTTATCACTGATAGTTGGATGAAAACTACCCAGTCCATTTCATGCACTCTAGAGATTCCATTCCAATGTAAACAATGCATATGATTTTCCTAATGTTAGACAATCACTGTTAATCTGAGAAAATTAGGAAAGTAGTCCTGAAAGTGGGAAGGGAGGATTCTATTTATCTGTCTGTCTTTAACAACAGAAAATACCAAAACATAAATTAAATCCAAACAGTCCTCTATTTGAATCACTTAGTAGCTCTTTGGAGATCTTCACATGATCCCGGAAAGACATCGCTGCTTTAAAGAGCTGCAGAAAAGTGCTACATTCCCATGTTCCAAAGCTGATTTTTGGAACTGAGACTGAAGCATTGTGACGTAGATTGCCAGATCCCAGAGTAAACCTTAGAGGCAGAAGCATAAACTTTATTCAAGGAAAAAACTGGAACAGGTTCAGAGAAAAACAACAAAAACAATCAAAGGACTACAAAACTAAGTTTTATGTAGAGAGATTGAAGGAACTAGGAATATTTGGCCCTGAGAAAACTGAGAAGGGATATGGTGGCATTTGTGAAATACCTGGAAGTATGTCATTCAGAAGTAAGTCAAGACTTATTCTCCATTATTCTGGGGTACAGTTTAAGTTTATTTTACATTCTAGAAAAGCAGATTCCATTCGAATGTTAGAGCAGTCTGACAACAATATGAGTAACAACAGTTTGAAGGCTGTGTATTGTCGAAGGCTCA